CCCAGGGTGGAACTGAAACTTGAAGGCCCTGCCACCAATTTCAGGGAGAGGACTAACGCCAAGTGGAGCGTTGTCGCGCGTATGGTCCTGAAGTCAACTCCGGAAAGGCATCCCCTAAGTTGACAAAGGCTTTCGTCCCTTTAGGAGCGGTTAATAGGTACCAGGCCTGTCTAGGAGAGAAAAGCATCGACTTGCCTATTGACTGGCCACCGGAGTTCATTGTCATAGGCCAACGACGAACTTAATCGCTATTGCGATTCTGAGGGGGGTACGGAAATAGGGCTTAACCATTCAAACGGAAAAGCGCCATCAAAAAATCACCATGGAACTTTTCGAATCAGTCTAGTTTTTTATGTTGCTTCCGTTCAAACATAGGAGTTCGAATCACTGTCAGAGTTTGGCCTTGATATTTCATCTTTCATCAAGTCCTCGTTTCATGAAGTCGATTTATCGCCTCATTACGATGAACTCGGACGACATCGTTGCCGTTGAAGTCGTTTTCGTCGAAGGCGCGTGTGCGAGATGATATCGCGGTTGATTTATGCGGATCCAGTGTATGGCGCGTGGAACGGTCGGCAATTCCGGTTTTGTGGCGGTGTCCACTTTGAATTCGGACGAGTTTTCGTCACGCAACATTCACATATTCGGCATTTTTGAACACAGGTCTTGTGGGGGGTGGGTGGCATGACACGGTAGAGGTGAATGGGATTTGCATAGTACAGTTGTCGAAGATTGATGGTATGAAACTACGATTTCAAGGGTGGAAATCACTATCATCAAAGTTAACGGCCTTTTACAGGCGGCTGAGTTTCTTTGGGAGGTTATTGACAAAAGAGGCTAACTAAGAACTATGAAATGAAGTTTACTGACTGAAAAAGTTCTGCAGGACCCCTCGTCCCTCAGTCTTTCTTCAGACATTACTGTCTCAGTTTTCTCCTGTTTGAGCCTGAGAGAAGAAAAAAAGCATAATGAAAGGGTATGGAGGTAAAATAAATAAATAATGAATTTAATAAATATGGTAAAATATAAAAAAAATCAGCAAAAAATAGAAGAATTCATCAAAACAGTAAGTTTGTTCAAATGTTTTCCATGATATGCCGTGAATATAAAGATAAAGAATTGCATAAGTAAACAAATAATTGGAAGTTCAAGCAAATATTTAGTTCAAATTATCAATGATTAATGTTAGGATTGTTCTGGGATTTTTTCCTTATTTTTCAGTGGATATTTGAGAAGTAAATAAGTAAATAAACAAGTAAATAAAATGAAATGCAAATCCAGATAATTGTTACTATTTGACGAATGACAAAAGCTCGTCATACCAATGTACTTTGCTTTGTTAAGTGTATGAAACATGAGTAAACAGGTCATTGAGTAAACAAAGGGATTGAAGTGCAAACATGTAAACATAAACAACCACAACAACCACTGGTTAACATACAGCTATAAAGTCACCAGGATGGTTTTTTTAATGTTTATAAGTGACAGGTGGTAAGTTATTGGTAGATGAATGGCATAGGCTTGTTATGCTGCACTAANTACTTTGCTTTGTTAAGTGTATGAAACATGAGTAAACAGGTCATTGAGTAAACAAAGGGATTGAAGTGCAAACATGTAAACACAAACAACCACAACAACCACTGGTTAACATACAGCTGTAAAGTCACCAGGATGTTTTTTTTAATGTTTATAAGTGACAGGTGGTAAGTTATTGGTAGATGAATGGCATAGGCTTGTTATGCTGCACTAAAATTTTTGTTGTGTGTATAAAAAATGAATAAATAAATAAATAAGTAAATAAAGGGGTAGAAATGTAGATAAGTAATTATTTTCCTGCCGACGAATAGAAATAGGATTTTTCTAGTGCTTCTTCACTAAATCGTCATTTCGCAATAGTAATGACTCAGCAGACACCAAGGGGTGGTGTGACCTTGGAAATCGGAAAAAAAAGAAAAACCAAAGTAAAAACTGTCACTGTCAAGTAATCGGAAAGACCACCCATGTAGGGCGAACGGAGAGGACATCAAAACAAACCCCCGAAAACCTAAGTGCCGCCCGCATCCGATGAGGTTAGAGGAGGAAGTGCGCCCTATGGGAGCGCGAATTTCAAATCACCTCCCCCACCTAGTGAATTGGGTCAACAGAGACTTCACAGTTGGGGGTAATGGCACGAACTTTGGCATTCCTTTTTCTTTGCAAACTCTTCATTCAGTCGGCTCATCAGCTCCGACAAGGTCTTCGAGGGTGATTGTGAGCGCGCGCCGGCGGAACTGATTGATCACTTGTGTGTGGGGAGATGGTCAATGAAGAAGATTTAGTTACTACCGGAATGATCGTCGAGGGTGGTTTATGTCGTGTAATGGTGCCAGACCAGATCGAATGAAGTTTGAAAATTGAAAATCGGCCATTCTGAGTGGGGAGTTCTCAGTGAACGGAGGGAATCCACAAGAACCTAGAAGACTCGTTGAATATGGCCCTATAGGAGGTTATGGGAGAGTATAGACCATAGTGCTTCGTTGTACACTGTTTTTGTTTGTTTTATCAGTTGTTTGCTCTTCTTTAGCTGATGTGAACTTGATTTGAACTTCTAATGTTGCCGCAATTTCGACCAAGGTAGAACAATCATTTGGCTAAGACGTTTTATTCGGAAGTTAGCCAACAGAATATGCAAAATATAGCTTCGAGGTTGTAAATATACAGAAAATAAAGGTAAATAAAACGTGATAAGATAAACAAATAAAAAGATTTATTCGGTGGCTACAACATTGGTTTGCAATTTAAATGACCAATTAGGGCTCAAAGGTTGCTTTTCAAGGGTCTGCGGGTTTTCTTGACTGAAATAATTTGTGGCCATCCGGAGCTGAACTGTATTCAGTAGAGACAGTAGATCCCCTTCAGAAATCCGGAAAAATGTCAAGTACATGGCACAACTGTACTAGTCGGCAAACTTTTATTACTTTACTGCAAAGGCCTGACTCTATAGGGATTTGAGTGGTTTACTGTAACTCTGAAAGAGTACAATCAATCATGTAACCCTTTGTGGCCATGAGCCGCCATCTGCCCTACCTGGTTCTTTTTTATGTGAGTCCACTCGAATGACATTACTCATTTGGTCGATCTCCTGTCATCCGCATTGGATTGGCTCATAATTTTCAAATTTGACAGGAACTTGGTTGACATTGGGCGTCCCAATTTGGAAAATGGCTTTCCGAAAGGAGTTTGAGAACACTTTCCAGGTTACTTGATCTTAAACAGACGCGTTTTATAACAATTATTTTTGAAAAATTTTGAGCGAAAGGTGTTCATTGTCCTTATAGTGACGGTTGGGTTCGGAAAAAGCCTCTAGGAAAATCTACTTCAGGCACATGCCCGAATGGGAATTTCATGGGTACCGCGAGCCCTTTTTACTAATTTATATAAAAAATGCATCTCAAGGTGATAAACACCGAAAGTGCTTATAATAGTCACTGACTACTAACTACGATTTGAAAGGCTGTTATGGTGTAAGGGATAAAGAAGTTGCTGGGCTTGTACAGATCCGAGCTCGGGTTCTGTCTCCGCTTACAACCGACGCCAGCCGTCATCTACGGTAGACCAGTAGCAGTGAGCAGAACAGAACAAAGAAAATTAGAACCGTCCAATCTCTATAAAAATTTCATGATGGCCGGTAGATCAGTTGTTTTTATAAAGGACCACATAGATGCTTGATCTACGGAATCCAATTTAATCCTACCCCACAAGCCTATTGATTGGCATTTCTATCATTGCCGTCCTTCAATCAACCGCCTTGACTTTTACTTTTCTCATACTTAAAAAGTCGTTCTTGTACCTTCTCCTCATTTAGATCCTCTCCTTTCCTTTTCGACAACTGCACGCATGGGTGCTCGCTATTGTTTTTCCAAATGGTTCAGGTTAACATTTTTGCGAAAAACATCGTTTTCATGAACTTTAAGAGAAGAAAGTTTGATAGATCCGATCATGGCTCAATCGAGAGACAGTGTAGGAGTGTTAGTGGCGCCTCTACCTGTTCCGCCATTGGAACACGCTTGAGAATTCCCGTAGAGAGAGATTTTCTGGTCATTATCTCACTCTTTTTCAGGGTCATGTTGTGAAGCTGTTTTAACCTTACTCAAGAATCTTGACCACCATACTTCTATTAGGTATGTCAGTTCAGATAAATTAGGCTGTAATTGGTACAGTCCCGACTTCTGCACGTTTTCAAGTCTTCTTCTGAGTAGTATAAATTCTGTGCATTATGTCAGCAATTTGATCGTTTTTGCTTTCGTTCAGACAGTTTCTCGAAGTCTACATCGAAGTAATGAGAACTGTAACCAGACCGATCAGACGGCAAAACCGAATTTCGAACTTGCTACGAAAAGTTCATGGCTCAACCACGAATAGCTCAGTCAGTGCGTCTATGTATATTTCAATGGCTCGGCTGCGGCTACGTATGTAGCTAGACGGAGGTGGGTTTGTACCATGATACCTTTTTGGAGTAGCTCATTGAGTATTGTAAGTCATATAATGGTACTTACAGCATCCAAGTCTTACAGTATATAACAGTTTTAATCAATAGCGCTCAATATATCGATTTACAGTAGCTGCAATATGTCCTTAATCCCCAGTAATCTTCCTTACGAGTAATTGATTACTGTAAGCGCAGTTCAAAGCATGATCAGTAATAATTCCAAGCCTTAGCAAAACGCATCGGGTGTGTATGTGTCTTCTGTACAAGTCAGAGCATAGGATGAACGTTTCATACATCGAATTAGAGCCAAATTTTTGAGTAAGAGACGAGTGCATAGCACCACCTCCATTAAACTTCTTCTAATCGAAAACACGAACTTTTACTTCAATATATTATTTAGTCTCATCAATATGGGTTTATACTTGTGATAGCCCCGAAATTTTCTATGAACCAACGAAACATTCATACTATGAGTACATTCTAAGAAAAAGTCGATTAGAAAGGGACTTGATAGACTCTATTATACTAGATTCTAGATTCTATTATATTCCATTATCCGAGGTGGGCAAGGGCAGTATGTCCCGTCCTCCCCAGGTGGGGGCCTGATCCCCGGTGCACCTTTCATTCCATCAGCACCACGTCTTCCTGGTTGCCCAGCCATTCCAATTCGACCTCTTGTACCTGGTTTTCCAGCTCTTCCAGGTTTACCAGGTGATCCTATCGCACCTATTGGTCCTGGTTCTCCAGGCAAACCAGGGTTTCCACGTAATTTACGGTATCTTATACCATCATTACCCGGTGCGCCAGGTCTTCCTGTAGGGCCACGTGCTCCATCGGATCCTTTCGGTCCCAGTGGTCCAGCTGGTCCTGGACGACCTGGTCTACTTGGACCTTTGAGGCCAGGTGGACCTTTAGGACCCTGTGGTCCTGCTTGTCCTGGTGCTCCACGTAATCCTGGTGGTCCTCGAGGGCAAACGATACATTCTGTGCTGAGTGCAGCGTAGTCGATAGTCGGAGGCGCCTTAAATTTTGAAGTTAGCAACATGGAAAATTTTTAGGCAATGTGAAAAAGCGTAGGCGATGTCAAAACGGCGAGAAGCGCCGCTGCCACACCGGACCAGAATTCCGATCCATCCCTAAGCTCACCCTTGCCCTTGGATTTGATTATGTAGGCATCACCTCCGTTTCTCTACTGATGTGTAGGTTCGTCTGTGCCTAATCCCGTGTGAGCGATTTGGTGGAAAGGTGCAAAAACTAGAACCTACCTCATAATTATCGCTACCACGGCTGCCAGGTTGTCCAGGTGGCCCGCGCTCTCCTCGAGGCCCGATTGGACCACGGGGCCCTGGTGGGCACAGGGGACGGCTTACTTCGCATTGACACCGTGCAGGAAGCTTGTTCGAACTCTGACGCTTCGGTCGGAATATGGCGTTGAGCATTTCTGCGTATGGCTTGGGAGGTTGCCACCTTGGTTGAAGATCTATCAGAGCTGCCCATGCTGCATCGGTTTGTTCTCGGAACTGGGTTGAGTGGAGCTTTACCTGTAATGAGGAATGTATAAGGAGCGAGTTGGAAATTGATGCCATGAGGCACATACTCCGAGGCATTTGCTGTCGATATTTTGTCAAAAACGGTAACGCTGTTTGTGGGCAATTGGCGCTAGCTTATGCAAAAGCAGTACTTGAAGAAGAGGTAGTCGTTGTGAAAAGAAATGGGTCTAAAAAAAATAAAATAAAATAAAAAATAAAAAAATATGTCTAGGGAGGGAAGATTTGTAGGAATAGGTCGGAGGTGATGTACTGTGTAGCACCACAAAGCGCATGGTAGGGGAATCAAGTATAGGCTTTATACCAAACAAGCTCTCCTTTTCTCCGAGGTCCGTTGATTGGTGCCAGACTGGTCTTGGAGGATAGCAGCTCTGACGTGAACATCGGCAGCTCACCACAATCCATAGCATAGGCCACATACGCATTCCAAAACCATTAAAATCCAGAATGAAAGTCAAAAGCTCAGGAACATCCCAGAACGGGACTGATCGATGCCAAAGAATTTTGTCCTATTGTTTAGGGGAGCTCTGCTGAAGTTGAATTGAGAATAGCTCGCAAAAGTTGCCAAGTTGCAGATAGTACAAACAATAAGTTGCAAAGGTGATGTGGTGGCAAGTGGAGGTCCTACCCCCTAGTCCAGGGATCGAATTCAGGATCGATTCTTCCCTAAAAGCACCAAGTCTTCTTCAGTCCGGGGTCGCTTAATTGTACCAGGCTCGTAAGAGTTGGAAGAAAACACCGACTTCTACGCCGGCTGGCCACCGAAGGTCAATGTATAGGGGAAATGGAATGAAATAGAGTAATGGAAGTCAGGGGTGCATCCTGAGGATGGTTGAGGTCGGTTGAAGCCGAAGGCGTCACCTTTTCGTAGCTTCCATCGAATAAGAATGAAAAATTCATAATATGGAAAGCCCAGAACACATGAAATAGTTTATAGTTTGGAAAAAATGTCTTGAATGTCATAAAATGACAGTAAGCTCACCTCATCATTCAGAACGTTGATTTCAAGTATTAGTGATGCAATCACGGCTAGGAGTACTGCTGTGAAAAGTGCTGACAGAAATGAAGCCACGCTGACGATGCCGATTTCATTCATTTTGTGGCTGCTACCATAAGCTCCTCTAGCTTTTGTCACCGCTTTATATAGTAAACTGGCTACTGCTTTGACAGTATGAGATACCACCCGTGGTGAGACTCTCCCAGATGGGCANTATTAGTGATGCAATCACGGCTAGGAGTACTGCTGTGAGAAGCGCTGACAGAAATGAAGCCACGCGGACGATACCGACTTCATTCATTTTGCGATTGCTACCATAAGCTCCTCTGATTTTTGCTACTGCTTTATATAGTAAACTGGCTACTGCTTTGACAGTATGAGATACCACCCGTGGTGAGACTCTCCCAGATGGGCACACTCTCTTGTTCCGATCAAAACAGACTTCGACCAGGATTATCGGGGAGGTCGGCTGTTGACTTCTTTTCTGATGCGATCCCATAGGAGGTGCTAGCCAAAAAACAAGAAATCGGCTTCTACCAAAAGCTTGAATGTCTCCTATGATGCGGTTCCTGAAAGAGTCATTGTTTTCCACTGGTCAACCCGTCTAAAAATCAGGCAGACCACTGACGTGGTCACTTGTATCGATCTACTTGTTCGAGTTGAGCCATGCATTCGACTTTTAACCGATTTAGGAGGATGTATAGGTGGACGTCTGCCGTGTACATACTATCGCTGAAGCTTCCTAATATTTGTTGATGGGATATCTGATAGCTCAACTAAGCGAAGGTGCGTAGTATATTAGTATACGTAGTTATAAACATATGGCGGAAGTGGCGTAGTGGCAAGTGGCGCACTGTCACTCACTCACAATCAAGAGTTCGAATCTCGGCTCGGTATCTGCCTAGGCGAAGCCTCCCATCCCTCCGATTTCGGTCAATTAGTACCAGACTCGCCTGGAAGATGACATACAAGGATGGCGATTCGTGGGCAAAACTTCCTCGCCTCTAACGGGACTCGAACCCGCGCTTGTTCTTTACGGGCACAAGTACGGGTTCGAACCCCTTCCGGGTTTTTCTTCCAGAACTTTCTGGCGTTAAAGCAGTCAGAGCCGTCGTAGAGGCCTTCATGCATCTATCTGAGCCTGGCCAGTACAAGGAGAAGAGTTACGTCTACCATAATGAACACCGAATTCGGCGGGTCGTCGACTACCTGGGTGCGGTATATAACGTCTGATTCGTCAAGAAGGCCGAAAACACTGATTTGTAATAAAATGGCCGACACAAGCGAGTTCTAGAAAGGTACACGCATCCATTCAGGTGAAACTGCACTTTTGTGTTGTGTGCGCGAAGTATTCCAGAAAGGGGTTGTTTTTCACTGATTCGCTATTTTGAAGCGATATTATTTTTTAGAAAAAATCTACTTATTAATTCAAGTCCAGCTTCAATTATATGTCATGAGATATTCAGTATAACTGAATATCATCATTGTGTCGTGGTTTTTTTCTCGGACGAAAAACTGGATGAACTGAGTGAAAGCCTGACTAAGCAATAAATGAAATTCCTTGCCTAAGTTCAGATTGCGACTAATCTATGTAAACGCCCGGTTACTACCTATTATTTTATTTATTGGAGAACAATTAATTTGGATAGTGTAGTGGCAAATGGCGCACTATCACACACACGTACGGTCCGAGGATCGAATCCCAGATCGATGTCCGCTGAGACCAACCGAGTCTTCTATCTTTCTGACTGGTCGTATGGGAGGATGAAAGCACCGACCTGTAGATTGGCTGGCCATTGCAACTCATTGTATAGGCCGATACGCACCCAAAATGCCACTTCCATTCTGAAGGAGCGTTGAATACGAGGATCACCCTGAAAGGGGCTTTATTCAAGTGAGGTACATTCATTCTTTTAGCTGAATTAGAAGTTTATTTTTCGAGAATTCATTCACTTTTCACGGTTTCGTTTTTTTGAAGTCATCTGCTACGAAAAGAACATGCTTTCCAATCCTACTACGATGTTGGATGCAAGTCAAGTGCGCATTCGTAACAAGAACCATTGATTATTATTCAAATTTGGATTTTGATTCACTGCCAATTTTTATTTTTTCACAGTCATTTTCTTTTTTCTACAGCTTTTTTTTTCATTCGACTACTTCCGAAGTGCATTTGATCGCAGCGCAAGCAACAAATGCCATTAAATGATTCCTACGCGCCCGACAAGTTCTCTGTAGGGTCTCAGAACAAAGGATAAAGTGGGCCAATAGGTTGTTATTAAGTGATTGGATCAAATGGCCATGTGCTACGTAGGATCCGAAATTGGACTGCAATCGCAGTAGTTGTTCGGAAAGATTGAAAAATATGACGCATTGGACATAAGCCACCGGTTTGTTAGTGCAAAGCGAGGTTTCTTTAGGTTCCGAGCGGTCGTTGGGTCGTTTTCCCATTGAAAAATTCATTCCCTTCAACTCGCTAGTTAGGTTCTATAAGTTCTATGAGGACAGAGTCCCAAGTCGAAAGGTTGAAAAGGGCAGAGGATAAAGTCCTGGGGTGTTAATCAATCCCGTCTGAGGGATGGTCCCGCACATTCGACTTCCGCTAAGAATCATAGTGGCATATTGAATGGCGTATGTGCCAGCCGATGTAAAAGTCAGTGCTTTTATCTCTTAGACGAATCTGATACTAATTAACCAAACCTGGAGGGTTGGAGGGCTCGTTTTGCTCAGGCGGGCATCGATCCGGGATCCAAACCCGTGGCCATGCGGGTGTGAAGTGCGCCATTTCCCTCTACACCATCCCGCCCTTATAAGAATGAATGATGAGTGGTAAATTTTCCTTTTGATGATAGTTCTTTTTTAATACTAGCAATAAGAAAATCAGTAGTGGAGAAATTCCAAAAGTTAGTAGAAATAGAAGTAAAAACTTCTATAGTAATGAGTCGGAAGGTGACTAGGTTCCTGGAATTTCGAAGTTGTTTTGGTCAGCAGCGAGGATCCGTATCCTTCCCGGTAAACCTTTTTCTCTCCGTACACGCCTTTAGAAAAAAATTCCCACAGTTCTCATCTTTGGCCCGGGTTTTTAGTTATACAGTCACTATGCATTGTAGGAAGTGCATAAAAAATCTGAGAGTCACTGTCGTTTTCCCATTAATTCGTTACAATACACCAAAGAAACGGCTAAATAGATGATAAGGATCTACCAGCTAATATTCAACTAAATTTAGCCTTTAGCAGATCGGAATGATGAAAATGAAAAGTGGCCGTAGAAGTTTCAATTCGATTAATTAACTGCTTGTCACTTTCGGATTTCTTTCACACCAATGGGAACGCTCCAACTTCAAGCGGGTTTTGCACTGATGGAAATTAGATCGTCTCAAATGTTTCTTTGCTTTTGAAACTCGTCGTATATCAATGTGCGGTAGCCTTCGTTCTTTTTTTTTGGAGAAAAATTAGATTTCGGCAAGTTTAGCGGCGAAGAATCGGAAAGTGACGCCATAGATTCCGTTTGTATAGGGGATAGCCATCACTTGATGAACATTTCGGTTCGAGCTGAAAACGAATCGAATAAAATTTGCAGAAGTGATTCGTATGCGGCTAACTGGTCGTATAGAAGTGGAACAGATGGGAAAGTTTTCTCTAGTCGGCTTCTAAGTCATTATAATGAGCTTGAAAGTGTTTAGATCCAATCCAAGCTAGGCGGCATGATATGGTATATTTACCTCTAAAATGAAATTAGTAAAACTCAGTAAATTCCTTGGACGATGACAAGACAGTTGAGGGAAAACAGAACTCGGGATATTTTGAATCGGCCCTCAAAGTTACGGGGCATATTACCTATTCCAAAGATTCCGGCCCTGTCAGCCTAGACCAGTCGTGCGTTCATGAGATTTAGGACTGAAGTGATATGCATGACGCATACAGAAAATCTCGGATTAAATGCAACCATCCAGCATATTTGATCAGCTTCAACAAATGCTACCAGGTTACAGAATTTGAAACCTTCATATAATCATTAAGATATTGACATCTGTACATTGGAGCTAGCAAGGTACCAATCCCGGCGTGATATAGGTCGAGCCTACCGAGTTTCTCCCGACTCACACATAGGTTACTCCGTGAATCCGGACCTGTATGGGAAGAAGAGAACACTGACATCATCATCTGTTAGCTTTTCTCAAGATCTTGTAAGGAAAAGGGCAGTTAAATCCTAAATCGAAGCCGAACATGTGGAGGTGACTCAACATGAGAACGAGCTTCCAACCGAAATCCATGAGATTCATTGTTATAATTAATTCAATTAATAACTAAGATAAAGAATAAAACTCTTAGAGTTAGTCAATTTTGTTTTTGGGATGCCCCCTCCTTTGCCCCACTCCTTTGCCCCCTTCCACCGACCTCTCCTTTCACTTCTTCCCCTTCCCTCTGCATTGAGCATCCGTTTAAAATCATGGTAGTCGTTAAAATGCTATGTGGTACACTAACTTTCGTTGGCCAGCCGTTCTCATTATTGTTATTACCGATATTATTGGCACGGCTTATAAGCTTAGACCGCTATATTACCGGTCCTACCAGTTGGTAAGTGGATTGCTTAAGCGGTCATCTTTATTGTCTCTTTTATTTCAACGGCCGGTTTTCTCCAGCCCTGAATTTTTACAGAGTCGTTGAGATTTCCCACAAAAAAATCTGGCCAATGGTTTAGCTGTCGCCCAGATGTTAATTTAACGTTCCGGTCTGACCGCCGTCGTGGAACAGCTTCCCTATTTCTGCTCACATACTCGGGGCAAGAGTGCTGGCCTCTGCTTCCCACAATATTTCAAGAGGTAGTACCACCCCTCCCTCCCCCCTC